AGTGTTCTAACACTGAGGTTATATTCTGGATCTTTAATAGGTGGCCACCTGAATACTTAGCTCTCTCTTTATGGTATTTAAACAGTGTTCTAACACTGAGGTTATATTCTGGATCTTTAATAGGTGGCCACCTGAATACTTAGCTCTCTCTTTATGGTAAGTTGAAAATACCACAATAAGAGAGCTAAGTATTCAGGTGGCCACCTATTAAAGATTCCAAAAAAGAACCTCAGTGTTAGAAAATTGTTTAAAAAGTGTTCCAACACTGAGGTTCTTTTTTGGAGCATAGATTTATCTTTTCAATTATTTTTAAGTTTCGTTTTGGTCAAGTTTTTTTTTAAAAACAGACATCTACAGTACAGCACCCCTGTTTCTCAGCTAAACTATTTGGTACTGACAATTTTTATTTTTCGAGGGACACACCTGCCAATTACAACCAACAGAACCTTTACAAGTTATGAATGGGAAGATGGATGACATTTCAAAGTCTTTTCTTTCTCCTATGAAAGAATGCAAGTGATCCAATATTTCATCTATCTTCTGTCTTCCCAACTATGTATTGAAATACAAATTCAATTCTACTCTTTCTGTATCTTACATGTTTATTATACAACATAATATGACAACCACCTGTGACAAACAATGTTCTTCCAAATGTAAAGGGAACAAATAAATAAATTCTAGAAATAAGTTTTATCCAACTTGTAATATTTTCTGGTTTGTACAATTCTATTAATACCACACATAAAACATTATTGTTAATAGTTATTGAAAGTTAAATGGTGAATAGATTTTATCCAGTACGTTTCTTGTGAACCAACATTACAGATCATAACTGTTGAATAGTGTTAACCGTCATTACAAATAATGGTTGTCAATCTCTTACAAGGTTTACGGATGAACAAATGTCATCCAATAGTGTTAACCGTGATCATTACAAATAATGGTTGTCAATCTCTTTCAAGGTTTACGGATGAATAAATGTCATCCAATAGTGTTAACCGTGATCACAAATAATGGTTGTCAATCTCTTTCAAGGTTTACGGATGAATAAATGTCATCCAATAGTGTTAACCGTCATTACAAATAATGGTTGTCAATCTTTTACAAGGCTTACAGATGAACAAATGTCATCCAATAGTGTTAACCGTCATTACAAATAATGGTTGTCAATCTCTTACAAGGTTTACGGATGAACAAATGTCATCCAATAGTGTTAACCGTAATTACAAATAATGGTTGTCAATCTCTTTCAAGGTTTACGGATGAACAAATGTCATCCAATAGTATTAACCATCATTACAAATTAAAAGTGCTTATCTACAGTTATAGTTAACATGACATTTGTTGAATGAAAGTGCTTGTCTACAATGATGGTTAACAGGATATTTGTTGAATGAAAGTGCTTATCTACAGTGATGGTTAACAGGATATTTGTTGAATGAAAGTGCTTATCTACAGTGATTGTTAACAGGAAATATGTTGAATGAAAGTGCTTATCTACAGTGATTGTTAACAGGACATATGTTTAATGAAAGTCCTTATCTACAGTGATGGTTAACAGGATATTTGTTGAATGAAAGTGCTTATCTACAGTGATGGTTAACAGGACATGTTGAATGAAAGTGCTTATCTACAGTGATAGTTAACAGCACATTTGTTGAATGAAAGTGCTTATCTGCAGTGATTGTTAACAGGACTACAACAAATGTCCTGTTAACCATCACTGTAGATAAGTACTTCCATTCAACAAATGTATTGTTAACGATAACTGTAGACATGCACTTTCATACAACAAATGTCCTGTTAACCATCACTGTAGATAAGCACTTTCATTCAACAAATGTCCTGTTAACTATCACTGTAGATAAGCATTTTCATTCAACAAATGTCCTGTTAACCATCACTGTAGATAAGGACTTTCATTCAACAAATGTCCTGTTAACCATCACTGTAGATAAGCACTTTCATTCAACAAATGTCCCGTAGATTAGTATTTGATCAGTAATAAACATGGAAGTTGTTCTAAACTATGAAATATTAAAGTAAAAATAACTTGTGATACTTACCTTCATCTGACCTCTCTGATTCTACTGAACGAGACTTTGACCTTGACCTCGACTTAGTTCTTTTTTTCTTTTTACTTCTGTGTCTATAGGTTTCTTCTTCCGATTCAGAAACCTATATGAAAAGAAAAGAAGATATCTAGAAGACTATACACAAAACAAAATAATTAGAGTAGCAGCACTGAGAACTACATAGCAACTTAGTTAAGAATTATATAAATAATGTTAAACACACTGGCCAAACAATTAAAAACCCTGTCTTCAAATGGGGCTTGGCATGTGTATGTAAATAGGTGGCCACATGACCATGTGTTCCACAGATATACAGTTTATTACAATTGGTATGCTACACATATGTACAAGGTACCAGCAGGATTGCCTTTATTATTGGTACGTGTCAGGTAGGAGTAACCACTGCACAGACAATAGTTATCACAGGATTTTCCATGGTGACCAGTACATGATAGGTGAATGTGATAAGACATATCCCAGAGAACTATGGCAGACAGTCACTTCTATATTTTAGGATTCAGTGTTACTTTGTGAGTTCTGTACAAGGACATGAGAAAGGCATTTTCATCCAAACCTTGTGCAGGGAGCCAGAATTTGGCAATCCTGCTCCTCTCTAGAAACCACCAAACCCAGAAAGACTTGCCTCTCATGGTGAACCAAGATTGGACAGTGGAGGAAGGGTATGTGGACCAATTAATCCTAGTCTATGCTATTTTGTGCCAATGGGGAATGTTCAACTGGCATGTATTGGGTCCTCTGATACCACTGGATGGATGAGTAACATCCCGGGAATACCCTAGCATCATATCGGATTAAGTGCACTCGGCAATCCTTCATTCATGAAGTATGCTTGACTGGTTAGACAAAAAAAACTTCCCTGGCCACCACAATCACCAGATCCCAACTTTCCTGGCCACCACAGTCACCAGATCCCAACTTCCCTGGCTGCCAAAGTCCACAGATCCCAACTTCCCTGGCTGCCAAAGTCCACAGATCCCAACTTCCCTGGCTGCCAAAGTCCACAGATCCCAACTTCCCTGGCCACCACAATCACCAGATCCCAACTTCCCTGGCCACCACAGTCACCAGATCCCAACTTCCCTGGCCACCACAATCACCAAGATCCCAACTTCCCTGGCTGCCAAAGTCCCCAGATCCCAACTTCCCTGGCCACCAAATTTCAACCCCACTGTGAATTTGTGGGATATATTAGAATTTGCAAGGTGTAACTGCAGCCTACTACCGTCAGTCCTGAAGGTTGAAGTGCTGGAGCTAAAATAGATTTGTCTGTTCATCATCTCACGGAATTCATGCTGCAGAACTTTAGAACTGTTATCAGCCTACTACCATCAGTCCTTAAGGAACTGCTGGAGCAACAGGCTAAAATAGATTCGTCTGTTCATCATCTCACGGAATTCATGCTGCAGAACTTTAGAACAGTTATTAACGAACTTGGTGAGCCAACAGAATATTAAGAAGATTTTTAAATTGACCAGTGTGTGTGTTTTATACACTAACATGTTAGACCAGCATTGATGATGAGTGATATATATATTGAACATTTTACTGCATCATCATCATCAGTAATACAATATTTTGCAAGAGTTAAGACTTACATACAACTTCAGATTGTTAAATCTACATACAGATCAACTTAAAGGTTTTCATACTACCTGTTAACAATATTTCCTTTATCCTTATTTAATAAATCAAGTTTACTTTTGTTATACTTGAGATAATCAACACATCCATTAGATAATTACGTTGAAAGCTACTGAAAGATGGGAGGGGTTTCTCTGTTCACAAATTTATTGATATCTTGGCAAATTGAAAAGATAATTATGTATAGTTGGTGCTTCTAATTACTTAGACACAATGAAATCTGTATTTGGGAAGATATAACAGATGGTAGGGACACAATCATGTAGGGGATGATACAGATGCCATCCCTTCTATCTTGTTTTTGAACAATTCATATTAGCCATCCCTACATTTAGTTTCTTTTTTGAAAAAATTTTCTTTACTTGTTTTTATTTAATGCAGTGTTTCAATAGACACAGGAAGGTTGTATTTATAACCAAGTTATAAATACAATGAGCTTCCAACTGTAATATTTATTGATTATCTATTATTAGCTGATAATTCTTGTTTCACTCTGTACTTAAGCTTTTAATAGGAACAACAAATTTCTGTAAGAAAACTAACTTCAAGGGGTAACGATAACATCATTTACAGTAGAATTATTGTTCTTTTAACCCTTTCAGCACGAGCTAGGTCACTGGGACCGACCTCGTAACCATTTTGTGCTTGTTATAGTTTTCATGCTATAATTTTTAAATTAGTAAGTGAATATTAATGAAATTTGGCAGATTATCAGTAAACAATAGTGATTTAATATCTTGCATATGAAAGATCAAATATTTTTAGTAAGGTTTATTAAGCAATATTATCATGCAAGGTAATTTTAAATTGCACACACAAAATCTATATAATGTCCAGATAGTTATCAAACGTTTCTTAAGAAGAAACTATATTTTATCTGTTATTTCCACTAACAAACCTCTGTGGATTCAGTAGATCTACCGAACCTGTACAGAGATTTGACCGATCTTGTAACAACCATAAAAAATTAGGAAATAAATATAAATTATGTCTCTTTCATTCTAGAATAACAAAAATTCTAACACAAAAACATAAATATTTAGATTAAATAGCTTAAATCTCATAACATTATACATTTATTATCTTTATTATATTGACCTTTCAGTCATGGCTGTAAGCTTATTAATAAGATCAGTAAGCTGTTAATAAGATCAGTAAGTTGTTAATAAGATCTGTAAATTGTTAATAAGAGCTGTAAGTTGTTAATAAGATCAGTAAGTTGTTAATAAGAGCTGTAAGTTGTTAATAAGATCAGTAAGTTGTTAATAAGAGCTGTAAGTTGTTAATAAGATCAGTAAGTTGTTAATAAGATCAGTAAGTTGTTAACTCTTTCAGCACAGGCTCGGTCCAATTATAGTTGAATTCTATGGTATTGATGTAGTAATTAATGATTTTTTAGTTATTCAAATGTATATATTAAACCTAAAAAATTTCTTTCTTTCATTTCCTCTATGTGCGAAATTTTAAAAGTCTTAGCAACCTACGTCAAGCAGGAAGAGCATATTTCTAAATAGTAATAACTTGTATATAATGTATAATAATGGAAATGTGACTGTATTTTACAAAATACTAGTCTACTAAAACACAGCCACAACAGGTCAAATTGTAAAGACTAAAGGTCAGTTTTATATTATTGGATACGGTAACATCAGTACACATGAGCTGCATCATTGTAACTTCTGTATTGTGAGCCACGTCTTATTAACAACTTACTGATCTTATTAACAACTTACTGATCTTGAATGTGATCTCTTCTTCTGTTTCTTATTTTTCTTAGAATGTTTCTTGCTTTTGCCATGGCGATGACCACAAGCTTCCTATAGAATTGTCAGAAAATCTTAATATCTTTCTCACAGATAAGATCTTGAAGATCAATGAAGTTAGGTTACTATTGTCTCATTTCATCAGAAAAGCACACTCAATAAGAGAATGACGAACATCTGTACAGAAGATTACAGATTTCTTACTTACTACAATTAGAACATGAACTTTAGTATAGAAAAAAAACTACATATTGCATGTTTACTAAACACTACAGTATAAACTTAGAGAAAATACTGTATTTTATGCCTACTAAAACTACATAACAAACTTTTAGAAAACTACATATTTAATGTTTACTAAACACTACAACATAAACTTATAGAAAAATTACTGTATTTTATGTTTACTAAAACTACATAACAAACTTAGAAAAAAACTACATATTTAACCACACAAAAATTTTAAAACTAAAAAATTACAAATATTGCTTTTTAAAACATGTGCTGAGCACACAAAACATTATAGGGTCATTAAATTTGTATATATTATTTCATGAAGATTCTAAATATAACAATGACCAAAAACAAGGCTACTTTACACTAAAAATATAACAATAACCAAAAACAAAGCTACTTTAATCTAAAAATATAACAATAACCAAAAACAAGGC